CCAGGTCACTCAGGGTGCAGAGGAGGTTAAGATGCCTCCACTGTAAACAAAGCCTTGTTTATGAGATTCCAGGAAATAGCTGGGGAAGGACTAAGGCCGTCCTTGTAGGTCATGCAGGCTCAGGCCTGATTCGTTGTTATTTATGAAATAAAAAATAATTTGCTTATTAGAAATTACTTCTGCATAAAAGGAATGTTGTTTTCAGCAGCAGCCTTCACGGCCATGTTCCTTGTGCTGCTTGTGATGCTAGACCCTCAGCAGGTGAGGAGCTCAGAGGCTCCCTCTCCAAGTCTCCTCAGTTTTCTCTGCCTTTCCATTCTGCTTGTGTGTGTGTGTGTGTGTGTGTGTGTGTGTGTGTGTGTGTGTGTGTGTGTGTGTGTGTGTGTGTGTTTTAGAGGAGTAGAGGTGAGTGCTGAGTTGGAGATACCGGAGTAGAGACTGTTGCTGTAGAAATGTAAAATAAGGAAGTTTTTTTGTAGATGAACACAAGTAAGAGAGAGCCATGGAAGTCTTCTGGCAAGGCAGAGGGCAAAACAGAGACTCCTAACAAAAAAGAAAACAGGGTGTAAATAATTTTAAAATGACAGAGAAAGCTAAGCAACGATGAAGTTGCCCTTAGTCAGAACATGTTCTTCAGTGAGATGATAGTGTCCCCCTCTCCTTAGATTGTCATTTATGTCAGCTGCAGTACTGGGGGGGGGACTGCAGGTCTCAGCAGTTCAGATTGGTCACAGGTGTCCCTCCAAGTAGAAGGATTTCTGAGCCTGGACTTCTCTCTACCAGAACCCACCCTGCTTCTTCCAGAGGGTTAGAATCTAGCTCCTGGTGAACTGGGGATGGACCTTTCCAGGGGTAGGACCTTCTGTGATGTAGGCCAGAAGGGCTGTGGGTACCTTTGTGCGCCATCAGCCACTGGCTTTCACAGCTGGCTTCTGGCTCTACCATGCAGCTCACCCCTGGCAGTGGTGAGAAAATTTCTCTGGCAGACTGTCTCAGTTCCAGCTTCCCTAGACACATCTTCACTACACTACTTTCACCCCTACACCACTTCAATCTACTCCATATGTTTGCTTTTCAGTAGCCCATGCTGCCCCTGTGGGCACTTCACTGGTGGGAACAGTTACCTCTGGTTAGCAGGGTAGCTGTGACCTCAGCCCTGGTGGCAGCAGCAGTGGACCCTGGATCTATTGGTGGGAGAAGTTCCCTGGCATACAGCAAATTCAGGTGGCAAGGCAGGGGTTAGCAGGAGTCAGTCAGCCCTGTGGTACAGCAGCCTCATCCTCCCTCTGTCTGTCCCTGTGGATAAGAAATTAAGAACTTTAATTCACTATAGTTTTGACTTGGCACATTTATAAGACTATTTGGTATTTTAACATGTTCAGTGTGAATAAATATGAGTAATATAAAACAAGTAACATATAACAGCTCCTTCTCTAAAGGCAATCACAGGGAATTTATTCTGGGTGCACTCAATGGCATAATGGTACATTTGGGAGGTAGAGGCAGGAGGGTTGGGAGTTCAAGACCAGTGTCAACTACATAGTGAGTTTGAAGCCAATGTAGACTACATGAGACCCTGTCTCAAAAACAAGAGAAAGCAAAATATAAGTGATAAGACAATGAATTTACCAAATATGTTGGTAGTAACATCAGATGGACAGATTACATCTAAGTGGGAAATCTCTGCTGCCATTTTCAAATGCTATCTTACAACAAGCTTAGCTCTGGGCCTGCTGAAGTCTGTGGTCTGGCAAGAATACTTCCTGAAGGTTTTATCCTGTTATGGAGTTCAAGTCCACAGGGAAAAGTCCACAGAGTCAATTCAAATAATAATTAAATGAATTTATTAATTACTACTGGCAGGAGCACAGCCATATCCAAGGCTTGCCATGCAGAGGAGGCTACAGAAAGGGTTTTTAAAGGCAGGCACCACAATTTTCCCATTTTGTGGTATATACAACTAAGTGAGAAACCACTTCACTTCCCTCCGCTAGTGAGGAGCTGTCACTCACAGTCTGTTACACAGTGATGAGTGGGTTTGCATAGGTGGGAGCAAGAGGGTCATTGTTACAATCGTGGGGAAGGGAGCAAGGAGTCAGAATTGCCAGGAACTTACCTTTTAGGAATTTAGAATGGTGCCCAGCTCAAAGAGGAGTTTTCTTTAACTATCACAAAATAGTCAAAGTTGGGCCAGATATACAGGCCAGTAATAAATGACTATTAAGGAGACTGACAACAGCCCCAATCATTTTGGCTCTGAACCTGTGGTATTCTGTCTCTTTATAATCCAGAAGCTCTGGTTGGCCAATCAGTCTGCAGAATCTTTACTACAAATGTGTTTTCTTGGGAGAACTTAAATTTATGTATCAATAGCCAATCACATATTATAAAACTGTATATATAGCTTAATTTTTACTCCATAATATGTAAGGCTGATACACATGTCCAGTCACCCGCTTTGGGAATCATGGGTTAGTGCTCTCTCCAAGAGCCCCACACAATTAAAGGAAGATTTACTTTGTTCATTGTCTGAAGAGATAAAGTTTATCATGGCAGTGAGTGCTGGTGTTTAGCTTTCTTCCTCCTTTTCCATCTCTGTTCAGTCCTGGCCCCAAGCTCCTGGGATGGCATCACCAACGTTCAGCATGGGCCTTCCTTGCTCAGCTATATCACTATGGAAACAGCCTCCCATAAATATGCAGAGCTGTATTTCCTAGGTGATCCTAACGATAGTCAAGTTAACAATGAGAAGTAACTACCCTAATCTCCAATTCTTAAGACCACATATGCATCAGACAGACTGAAGCCATGCATGTAAAAGTCGAAATGCATGTCTGGGGCAGACCTTGAAACAGCCCTAGTCAACCAAGCTCTGATCTGTAGGGTGTGCCAGAGCTAAAGGAAGTTTTCAGTGACCTACGGTTCAGTGATCAAGCTGACTCTGCTTTCCCCTGACAAAGCACTCCCAGTCACGGGAGTCCCTTCACATGACCAGAGGATGCTCTTAGAGTGTGATGGCATTAACAGAAATGGGTTTGGATCCAGCCACCAGCCCTTGGCAAGTGTCACCTTGGGGCCAGCTGTCACCATCATGGATGCATGCATCCCTTGTGCACACCTGTGCACACTTGGGGTCTTATTCCAGATGACTGTCACTTACTCAGCTAAAATTGATTGAGTTCCTGCTGTTACCCAGGCACCAAGCCAAGGGCTGGAAACACAGGGATGACTCAAACATGACCTCAGTCTAGAAGAACTCACTTTCTGTTAGAAATAAATATTGAGGTCCCTACAAAATGCTGTAACTTAGAAAGAAATAGCTGCTTCCTTCATAGGACTTGATTCATAAGGACTGGAAATTTTAACAGCTAAAGGGTTAGAATACAAAGATGAAAGGAAAGTGGGTTCCATCCTTGAAGTTAGATTCCACTCAGCAGACTTTGGGTCTCAACAGGGACCCAACTGCACTGTGAAATTCAGGGGAAGGGACGCTAATGAGCAGCTTCGAAGCATAGGCGGCCCAGAACCTCTTCACTTCTGCTGATGGGATAGCTCCCGCAGGGCTTGGCTCATAAACCCAGTTGCTGTGGGCTGGAAACTTGCTTGTGAGCATCTGTGCATGGGCTGGCAGCCTTCTGGTCTCCAAAGTTGTTGCGTGTATTCAGCATCAATGCTACAGAGTAGCCCAGGGAATACTTTTTTAAGTCATTATTACAAGTTAATAAAACAACTCGAATGTTTGTATTAAAGCACAAGAGAATGGAAGATAGATAGATAGATAGATAGATAGATAGATAGATAGATAGATAGATAGAAGAAGCCATAGTGGTCAAGATGAAGGGGCTCTGTTTAGAGTAACATTTTGAAATATGGTCCCAGATTACACCGCTCTTATACTAAACCTAAAATGACTCATTCTTCCTCTACACCTGTTAGCCAGTACTTGAAGTGAGTGGAACATATCATAGTGTCTGAATCAAGCAGGAGCAGAAGGAAGCATCTTTTTGGAACAACTTGAGAGTGTTCCTTCTCTAGCTGAGGATGTCTTAGTCGGTTCTCAAAAGCATTAGGTTTTCAACATACAATTTTTTTTTTTTTTTTTTTGAGGGGAGAGGAGGCGGCCCATAGCAGGCCGTCAAAAGTCAAGGATGACCTAGTACGTGATGGCATGAATGGCGGAGCCAAATGTGCCGTGGTTTACCATATTGTAGACCATGGAGGGATCTACAATTGTCAACCAACAACACGAGAGTTCAATGCTCATTTTAAAGTTTAAGGAAATGAACCTCCATCCCTCTGTGCCCCCTGTTTTATTTCCCCCTGAGAGGACTCTCAGAGGGGATGAGCAGTCCTTGTCAAAGTCTCCCATCTGAGTGATGTGAGGCCAGGCAGCTGCTTCCAGAGCCCACAGTCCTCATCTTCTCTGTCACCAACTCCTGAAGTCTGCCTCTCTGTCATCACCGTGTTCTCTCTCCTGTGCCTTCTGGGATAGCATCAGAGTTCCCCATTTTCCAGGGGCAAGAAGTAAGGGGATGAGATGCAGAAGGGAGTTAAAGTGGAGACTGTAGAATCACAAAGACTTTCCCACTTCCCAGCGTCTGGCCACTGTCAGTGCCTCGAAGCCTCAGAAACGACAACTAATGTGTTCACAGGCGACAAAGGGTCTAACGAGAGGCACGTGAAAGTGTTTATCACTTGCCTATGTATGAAGCACTTGCTGGGTATTATGTATCACAGTCACATAAAATCCCCAACAGAGCACTCCATGCTGTAAAATTGAGCAATCTTTTCTTAACTCATAAGCATATGCCATGTGCCAAGAACGCAGTGCCCACACACGTCCAATGGGTGTACAGCACTTGTCAAACAAGTTCGTATTTAAGCTTCTTGCCTGAAGGCACTTCCATCTTTGAGAAGTGTCTGCCCCAGCCCTTCAAAGATTGCAGACTTCAACACTAATAATAAAGACCCAAATTTAAACTTCTTTTGTCCCAATCCAGGCCTACAGAGTAGACGAAAGGGCCGCTGAGCAAGCTCGCTGGGAGGAGGCCTCTAAGGAAACCATCAAGAAGACCACTAAGCCTTGTCCTCGCTGCAATGTGCCAGTTGAAAAAAATGGTGAGTGAGATCTGAGCGAAGAGCTAGGTCTGCCTGTCCCCTCCTGAGTGGTGGCCTCAGGGGGATGGCAGTCGGGGCTTCTGGGAGGGTACAGAGCTTGAGGCTGGCTAGATAGAGTATATCACTTCTTCAACATGAAATTTCTCAACTTCATAAACCTAAATTCCACTATAACTACCCTAGTTTCTTTCCGGAAATTTGGGATGCTCTCCCATGCTAAATATATGTTGCGAGGCGGTAGACAATAGCAGTGTCCGAGGTGATTTCTATGAGACGAAATTCCATCCTTGGACTGGGAGCTGAGGTGGTAAATGAGACTGTCTGGTGAGATGGTGGCCAGCAGTGGGTGACACTGAGCGCAGCAGGGCTCATTCCAATGCCAGTGAAAAGAGAAGACACGTTAGTGCCCCTTCTTATTCATGACATTAAACACTTATCCTGTAATGAGTCAACTCTTCTAACAATAACAAAGTCTAGTATCCCCACAAAGTGTCCTCCCAGGCCCCTAGAGCCCAGACTGAGGGACAAGTAGCACTGCCATGTTGGCTCCATTTGTCAGGTGACAGCAGCTATGTCTCCCTGCCCCTCCCCATTAATGATAATAACAAAAATAGTTAATTTTCGAGTTGTGCTCACTGAATACTTACCCCAAGTCCTCTGTAAGGACAGAGTGTTTACTCCTCACAGGCTACTTGAGGAAGTAAGGTTAAGGCTGACTTTCCCAGTGGATATCAATGTGTTAAAGTATTTTTGGAAGTTCTCTGGTAAAGAAACAGGATAGATTTATGTAATCAACCTTTTCTCAAAAACTTTTGGCCTTGAACACCCTCTCTCTGGCCTGCACGCATACCTCCCCCCCCCCCCCCCCCCCCTTCCCTCCTGTTACTATCCCTTAATGGCTGGGACTCACTTCAGTTCTTGTATCCCTGCTGCAAGGGAGACAATGCCTTGAATGACACTAGCGCCTGGCTCCTCCATTCACATGTCAACATTACTGGACTTTGGAAAGGGGCTTTTTCTTCTGCCTCCCAGCAAATCTTCTGTGGCTTTTAAAGAGTCCAAAATGACTGAACACATCTCTGAAAGAAATACGGTGAGGGCAGGACAAGTTTTCCTAGAATGTTCCATCTTGCAGTCAGAAGACAAAACCTTGCACATTCATGTTCGAATGACTCCTCTTCACCAACCTTCTAAAGCCCTGGTATTGTGTCACCAGGACTGTCCCTTCCTGACTCATGCAATCACACCCACTGGCCTCATCAATACTGGAGCCACATGGCTGTGGGAAAGCCCAGAGCACTTAAATGGAAAGATGCGGCCTTACCCTCCCACCTCCTGTGTTCATGGGCCAGAGGTCTTGGCTCTCCCAGAGAGTAGAAATCAACTCAACTTTCCCATGACCGGTCTCTGCTAACTGTGTCCTTCAAGTATAGCTCGGCTCTGCCCTGAGCATGGAGGGGAATTGCCAAGGATGTTTGTCCAGTACCTGTATTTTTTAGCTCATATCAAGGTCTCCCAAGAGGGCTCTGGTTGCAAGGCCTATGCATTGGAAAGCACCCTTTGGGGCACACAGTTGTGTGCAGCACTTTTCCTTCCCTAGTCCACAGCAAGAATATGTCATGCAGAGGACATTTGAACCAAGGAACCAGGCACCGGCATCATGTAGGGTGTTACCTTGCCTGCAGCAGGGACACAAGAACCAGGGCAAGTGTCACACATTGAGAGCCACTGCTGATGCAAAACATAGCTCTTCCCCCCCCCCCCCCCAAGGGAAAAAGAGTTTCTTCTGAGCCAAACCTGAGTGACTATGATGTGGGAACACAGATTCAAGTTGCCCAGAATGACATGTTCCACTGTGGAAGAGACTGCATAAAATTTAGAGTCACTGAACAACAACAACAAATAAGAAACCCATGAATCTACCAGCTAGACTGGCAGGGACATCACGGGGATTGGATACAGTGGAGCAGGGAGGACACCAGTAAGGTCCTCGGGCAATGCCAGGTGACAGCCTTAGCTTGAAGCCAGTGGGGTGCTAAGGTCACTAGTATGCCCTGTTCTGAAAGTTTTGTCTGACAGACATGAAGCCGTTAGGTCAGGTTCAGAAGCCAGTGACAAGTGACTATTAAGGGGCTGAAGACAGCCCAAGGCCATTCGGCTCTCGATCTGTTGCTCTACATTCGCTAAGTAAAGTCAATAATTCTGCAGGACCAGTGCCACAGAGGTAGCCTTTTCAGGGAACATCAGTCATTACCACCACTGAGCATAGCATGCTGGTACCCCCTCCACCATGCTCCATCTCACTCACCCCAAGAAGCAGTTTCTCCTACCTCCTGCTGGCACACTCTGAACTTCCATTGTGCCATTGTCCCCTTTTCCCTTATTGCTGTCATTGTGCTGCTTTGACTTCGGGGGGGGGGGGGGGGGGGGGCGGCAGGGGCCAGCCACCCAGCCACACCCCCAGGGCTGGGGTCGTCTGGGAAGCAGGTCTCTTCCATTCTGCTCACCATACTGGTTGGCTCCAGAGGGCTACCTGTGTGGACTCACATGGTGGTTTGAGGACTAGAATAGAAGTTAGGGTCTGTTTGGGTTCCAACCATTGTCACCTGTGTCTCTAGCACTGGTGATAGCCTGTTAACCTATCCTTAGCATCTATCCCACCCTCTGGGACACAGGGGCCATCTGCTTGCCTTGCACAGAGCTAGGATGAAGACTGAATGAGATGCTGTCTGCACAGAGCACGTTAGTGTGGCTTCTCAGTAGATGTCGCCCAGCAGAATTTTTGTCCTGATCAGACAGGAACTTTGATGAGTGGGTCCCACAGCGTGTTAGGCAACCAGTCAGCATTTATGTGGCCAAGACGATAATGTATGTAGGAAGTGGGGTGGGGGTGTTGGGTATAGCTTGGAATAAGACACTAGTTGGTGGACACTGTGGCCTTCTCTTCCTCCCTGGTGAGCAGCCCTTTCTGAGGGCTGTGTGCTATAGGGTCACATTGCCTGTTTTTCTGGGTGTTGGCTTCACTCAGGTTGGCGGGTGCTGAGAGCTGGCTGGCTGGCTGCAGAATGAAAGCTGATGAACCTATATCAAAAAAAAAAAAACCTTTATCGACACCAACAAGAGTGTGCCAACACTTCCAGGGTGGCAGGGGCAGGCTTAGCTCAACCCAAGTCCCTAATTCTGAGTCCCTAACTCCTGGGAAAAGAAATCACTTGGTGGCCTTCCCTGTTTCTTTGCTATGGAGATGGCCCTAGAAGGACAGTGGTTACCATGAACCTGCAAAGAGTGCAAGGGTCAGTGGAATTAAGACATTACCACTTCCAGACTGTGATCAAATAATGACAGAAAGAGAAAAAAGATGCAAATAAATGGCCTTGTCAGAAGGGAGAATTAAGTGGCTACTAATGGGCAGGGCCCAGCGGCACACTGCACAGACTTGAAAAGCACAAGCGAAATAGGACAAGACCATTTCTCTAACATCCCAGAGAAATGCAGATTTGACCCAGGCAAGGAAGAAACGGAGGACCTCATGTGCAAAACAGTAGGGTGTGATCACCACCCCTGGGCTATGCCTGGAGCCCCTGGCATGCCAGCGTTCCTAGGCACAGTGTGCTTGGACACAGTGTGTGGGGCCAACATGGGAACCATGGGGCTCAAGCTTGACCTCCTAAGACAGGGAACCATTTGGAGGGAATTACCCATCAGCTCTGTTGAGACACAGGTCACACCACAGACATGGAGGTGGAGCTGAGGGAGGAGCCAGGTGACTCACTGATATAGAAGTTTCCCTCGGGGTCATTTCTCAGAAATGCTGTCCTGGGCTACAAATGGGAAGCACTCACTCATGGCCTGTTGAGTATTAGCCTCTGACCTGAAACACTGCAAAGAATCTAAACTGCCCTCATGCTAACACTGTAGCAATGCTACTAGATACGGGCCCTGGGACCAACTGCACGGTCCGGTTCCCAGCTCAGCTCAAGGCTGGTTCCACATTCAGGAAAGCAGTTCTTCCCATGGGGAAATGGAACCATTCTGTTTCCTTTTTGTTTGAGTCTATGTATGTACATATGTGTGTGTGTGTGTGCCGGTGCATGTGACCATGTGCGTATGAGTGGAGGAGACCAGAGGCCAACCTTGGGTATTACTTGGGGTGCTATCTTTTTATTATGATTATTATTTATATATGAGATTCAAACTCTCAGGCAACCATGATAACCCAGCAGGTAAAACACTTATCACCAAGCCTGATGACCTGCGTTTGACCCCTGGGACCTATGTTGTTGAAGGAGAGAACTGACTTCCTCAAGTTAGCCTCTAACCCACCCTCCACACTTACCCACTAGCAATAAATAAATATTATATATATTTATAAGTATTATATAATTATATATATGTTTATATTAAATATATTTACATTTTTGAGACAGGATTTCTCTGTATAGCCCTAGCTATCCTGAAACTCACTCTGTAGAGTAGGCTGGCCTCAAACTCAGAGAGTCACCTGCCTCTGCCTTCTGATTGCTGGAATTAAAGACACAAACCATCACCACCTGGCTTAATGTGTGTGTGTGTGTGTGTGTGTGTATTTTTTCAAGACAGGGTTCTTTGTGTAGCTTTGGAGCCTGTCCTAGAACTCAATCTGTAGATCGGCTGGCCTCAAACTCACAGAGATCCACCTGCTTTTGCCTCCCGAATGCTGGGATTGAAGGCATGTGCCACCACCAGCTGGCTATGCCTTTTTTTCAAGATTAATGTATATATTTTTAAGGACAAGGTTAGTCACTGGCTTAGATCTCACTGATTTGCCTGGCCTAGGCTAAGCCGGCTGGCCCCAAGGGTCCACCTGTCACTGCCTGGGATTACAAATCCAGGCCACTTTACCTTAACATGAACTCTGGGGATTAAATTCAGGTCTTCATGCTGGCAAGTCAACCACTTCACCACCTGAGTCATCTCCCCAGCGCCACAATTCCCTTCTCAACACGGGGTAAGCCTGGGTGCTTCCTCCTGTAATTCCTTCCAACTTCCAGACAGTTCTTCCCCTATCATCTCAGACAGGCAAGGTTATGGCTCGCTTCTCGGATCCGTGAGTGTCTGTGGTGGTCGGATCTGCCAGCAGGTAGTTCGGAAGCTTCAACTCACTGGCTAGATCCAGTGTAAACAATCTGCCCACAGGCCTGCCATGCCATGGTTGACAGTCTAGATTCAGAGCTCACCGTGAGAAGAGCCACAGTCCCTTTCTTGTCAATATCAGATGACTGTGGGGCAGTCAGCAACGCCCTGCTTCCATTTGCAGCTATGGGTCCCTTAATAATGGGACACAACATGAGAAGTGTGTCGTCAGACATACTTGTCACTGTTCAGATGGTACTCGGTGCAGACACAAGCCTAGATGCCGGTAGCTACTCAGGAGGTCCAGGGGGTGTGGGGTGGCTAAGGCAGTGAGTCATGGCAAGCACTCCTCAGTGAGCCTTCCTCAAAAGCAGAAGGAGAACTCAAACATAAGGAAAGCACATGGTGAGATAGTAGAAAATGAATTAGTAAAAGTGTCTTGATTTAAACTGGTCACATGGTAACTCTTCTCCACTACCGAATGGTGCTTGCTGAGCAGAGCTGTATACATTCTGCTCTCCCCACCCACTCCACCACCCCCGCACTTTTTAGTCAGCAGACCAAAGAATGGGCCTCATTCTGACCTCTTTTAAGAATTCTTTTATGTGTGTGGATGTCTTGCCTGCAGGCATGTCTGTGTACCATGTGCATGCCTGGTGCCCATGGAGGGTACTGGATCCTCTAGAACTAGAGTTACAGATGGTTGTGAACTGCCAAGAGTGTGGTGGGGATTGAACACAGGTCACTAGAAGAGTAGCTGGTACTCCTAACCACTGAGCCACTGACCTTTTTATACATATATGTACTTGCTCATATTTGCTCCCATACAACTCTCCCCCTACTCCGCCCTTCCCCACTGGTTCTTACCTCATCTCCAGTATACATACACATATATTCCACACATGAGAGAAAACCTAATGTTTTGTCTCTTCTTACCCCCATTACTCTATGTTTCCCTCCTCTCTCCTTAGGACATTTCCTCTTTCCACAAAGTCCCCCTTCTGCCATTTTTTTCTTTCCTGTCACCAGCAGCACAGTAGACTAGCATTCCCACATGAGGATGTAACACAAACCTGGACTTCAGTAGGCAACAGGAGTTTCTGGCTTGCTGCCCATGGGTCCGCCATTGCACACCGCTAAATGGTGCACACTGTCCAGGTGGCTGCATTTCTAGAATCGAGGGCCCAGGTGCACCTCCACATTACAGGGTCTAGCTGGAGCCAGCTGTGTGTTAACTGCCAGGAAGGGAAGAGGCTCCTGATATAACCCTCTCTTCCCACTTCCCTCCTTCCTCACCCACAGCGGCACTACTTTCTACAGATGAGTTAGAGTTTCAGATGTGGAAAGGTTGAGAGAAAAGCAAGGAAAGAATTCTTACATAGCATAACTAAGTCTTAGCATACTGCTCAATATCCCATGTGATGTTTTAGGGAGACTTAGATGATGTTACTGTGGTGATACCTTGCTTGCACAAATAAGGCCTGTCTGAGGGTCAGAGGATGGAGCTTGCCATAGCGAACCATAGAGATATGGCGGTCTGTACAGAGAGACAGGGAGTGAGGTAGCTGGGCAGAAAACAGGAAATCGTTCTCTTGTCTGCTGAGATGCGTGGTGTAGCTGGGCAGTAACAGTATATAAGCAGGAACAAACAGGAAATCACTATCTTCTCTGTGGAGATGCTTAGGAGGTAAGGTGTGCTGTGGCTTGCTCCTTCTCTCTGATCTCTCAGCATTTCCCTCAATATCTGACTCCAGGTTTTTATTACTTAAACCAATTAAGAACACCATTTACATGTTACAGAATCACACTATTCTATTGTATTATGCACATGCTAAGACAATGTTGCTAACATGTGCCAAAAACAGCCCTGTCTTTGATGACAAGTAGTTTTTAATTTTTTTAAGTTTTCTATTTTATTTTTCATACATCTATGATCTTTTATGATGTTTCAAGCTTCATAACCAAGCGGAAAATTTTAAATGCATTATCCCAAGACAAATGCCTACAGGCATCAAACTGTTTTAGAACAGATTGTTTTAGAACAGATATCAAAGAGTTCTCTTCAGTTCCCCCTGCATCTCGTGGCCCAGAAGCCAACAACAGCTGAAGAGGGAGTCAATGATCCCAAGGTAGGTCTCTCGATAAGGGGCTTGCCATTGTCTGCGAACAAGACAGCTCCTGCTCCAGGGACACTGGGTGTCTCAGCTCTACCACTTGACAGAGTTCTCCAGCAGAGCCATGCTCCTGCCTCAGCATCATCAGGATAGAGTAACAGAGGATATGGAGGACACTTGACATGAGCTTCCTTTCTCATTTTTTCTTTCTTTTTGTTCTTTTTTTGTTCTGTTTTGTTTTGACTTTTTAAGACAAGGTTTCATGGAAGTCAGGATGTCCTGGAACACACTGTATAGCTGAGTATGACCATGAATTCCTGATCCTCCTGCCTCCAGCTCCTGAGTTTGGGGGAACCACATGTGTACACCACCATGCCTGGTGTACACAGAGCTGCTGGGGATCAAACTCAGGGCTCCATGTACACCAGGCAAGCACTCTACCAGCTGAGCCACACACGGTCCCAGCATGGCAGCTTCCTTTTTTTCCTTCTCATCTTAATAAAAATTTAAATAACATCATTAAGGAACACATTCTCTATTAAAAGTAATATGCTGTCACAACTCCTACTCACACATTTTGCTGAACCAAGTAACACTGAATAAATATGAAATAAATGAACTTTAGTGTATCATATATTAAATTATTAAATGTTTCATAGGTATTTGAAAATCATGAGTTTAATATGGCTCTATTTTTTTTTTTTAATGAAGAATCAGCAGGCTGTGAAACACACCATTTATGTCTGAGCACATGAGGGAAAGATGAGAAACTCAGACTGTGAATGGGATTTGTTCTGAAGGCAAAGAGCCCTTTGTCCATGTCATTATCTTATCTTTTCTCACTTGGGGGAGGGGGATGTTGCCTCCTGTTGTTTCTGATTATTCCCCCTGGCTCAGAGTCTCTCTGCCCTCCTTGCTGGGGATTTTTGGCTACAAGAGTCATTTCTGGGATGGCATGGGGGCAAGGGCTCCCCGTGTTTGCCACAAGCCCACAGCACCTGTATCCTTTGTACCCACAGGAGGATGTATGCACATGAAGTGTCCACAGCCTCAGTGCAGACTGGAGTGGTGCTGGAACTGCGGCTGTGAGTGGAACCGAGCCTGCATGGGTGATCACTGGTTCGACGTGTAGACAGACACTCAGGCACTGCCCCTGACCACACCTCCTTACGGGAAACACGTGGACTCCTGCCTTCTTAGCCATTTCGTCGTCTCTGGGCATATAAGCACATACAATGCACACGCACAAACACAGACTGCAAATTACAGACTCGGCCACTAGATCCTTTCCACAGGCACCCACGGAAGCCAGCAGCACCCACTAGGCACCCAGTGAGAGGCACTTTCGGGCCTCTGGCATATGCAACTATCCAACACTGGGAAGAGAGTGTAGCCCCTTGTTTTGGATTTCTCATCCCAGCAGGAATCCAGCCCTAGGGAGGGCTTTTCCAGGTTTAATTTCCCGACTTCACCTTCACTAAATCCATGTAGAAGCCTTAGGCGAAGCCACAGCTCTCCAAGGCTGTTGCCACGCTCTGTGTAAATTAGACTGCCGTGGAATCTCAAGAGCACACTCGAGATGTGAGGGACAGTGTTCTTACTCAGCAATCACCTATTCCCAGGGGGCCCTCCCCGGCAATAGTCAAAAATATTTGTTTATCCCCAAGAATCCTATCTTTATAAATGGTGCTGATGAGATGACAGCTCGGCGGCATACAAATCAACTTATCAACCAAGTGAGAAACTGGAAAACATAATTTGAATGCAGACTGTTTAAATTACAGTGAGGGCATCAAAGTGGAACCTACTTCCACTCGCTTAATTACCTGCAACTTTAGAAAGAAATTACTCTTTTTTTCCTGAAATTATTGCAAAGTCTGGAATTTGGTTTGAAGTATTCATATTGCAGCCTGGAAGTTTAGCCCATGCATTTGTCTTCACTGTGAACTTAATAGAAAAAGTGCCTATAAAGGGCATGTTTTTAGAAACAATCCCATGATGCTATTCCAACGCTAACAGCAGTGCAGGCCGGGTTTATATTTATGGAATATTTATAGAAGCGGCATTTCTAGATCAGCCACATGAGAACATGCCTGACCCTCCATCAGAAAGGGAGACACCTCTGTGTACTTACCCCCTAAGTCCCAGGGAGTCCCATGCACCCAGTGGTCCTACAGGCAGAACCTTTTGCGAAGGACAATAAACACACTAGAATATTCCTTAGGTAAATACACATCACATTTGAATGTTAAGTTTTCAAGATTTTATTTTTTCCTGTTGTGTTTCGTTTGGTTTGGTTTGTGAGGCACTCATAACACATAAAGCTGTTTCCACTAGGTACTGTGAGATGCAGTTTCTACTGCACCCTGTGCACAGGGGTGAGGCGTGGTCTCTGCCTTTCCCTCTCATTTGATTTTCTGACTTCTCAGGAGGCTGAGCTGGCAGCTGAGGGTCTCACTGGCCCCTGAGGCCCCTTGGGACTTAAGAGGCCTGAACCTTCTGAAATCAATAAGTAGATACAACCAACAGAATCCGATGCTGGTGGGAGAAGAGGCAGTGACCTCAGAATTTTCAGGTCATATCCCAAGAGCACCTGCTCCCCCACCCCAAGCAGCCTCACCCAGAACACTCCCCAGGAGCAGGCTTCCCTCCCCTTCCTCAGAGACACAGTACTGGAACAAGGCAGTAGTGTGAGAGGGGGCCACACAACATGAACAGCCAGACTTATCACCAACTGCTAGAAAATCCATCCTCTCCTTCATAATCCAGGGCTGCCAGACCCAAGTCCAGAAGCCAAAGATCAGATGGAAACGATGCTATGGTATCTTGTAGTGTGAGGCGAGGAGAGCAGACCTAAGCCCATGCTTGCATCCACCCCCACCAGGACCCAAGAGAGTGTCATATGCTGACCCAAAGTGGCAAAGCCACCTGTCCTGCTGCATGCAGGGTGTTCATGTCACCCATCACTGTTCTGTTTGCAACATTGCTCTTTCCCATCGCCTCCTTCCACACCCGTGTGCTGTAATAGGTTTGGGAAGCCAGGACAGGGTTTGCTCTTCTGCTCTGTGTCAGACTCCCTGGAGCTCTGGGGCTCGTCGGCATGCTCCTTCTTTCTCTTCTTTCTTTCTGGTGATGGCCTATGCTTCCTTCAGAATAGAACAGTGATTCTTAAAATAACCTAAAGGAAAAACACCCACAGTGTGTGAGCATGAGTCAGCCTGTGTTGTGTGAGCATGAGCAGTGGGATAAAATGTGGATGTCAAAAGAATGGCAGCCAAACCTTTGCAGAGCAGTCTTTCTTTCTCCGTCAAATGCAGTAGGGGATATCTGAAGACTGTGTCCGTGGTGGTACCCAGACTGTCAATAAAAGAATCAAAAGAGTGTTTGAGCTTGTCCTTGGGGACATATTTCTTTGTGGCCTCTCATACTGCTTGGAAGCATCACCCACTGGGAAAAAGTGACCCCTTTTCTCTACATGATTAACCTCAAGGGTTCTGCTTTTTTAGTTATCAAAATGTCAAAACAAGACCTCATTTTGCACCAGGTGTTGTTGGCGCACACCTTTAATCCCAGCACTCGGGGAGGCAGAGGCAGGTGGATCTCTATGAGTTCTAGGCCAGCCTGGTCTCCAGAGTGAGTGCCAGGATAGGCTCCAAAACTACACAGAGAAACCCTGTCTCAAAAAACCAAACAAACAAACAAAAAAAAAACAAAACAAAACAAAACAACAACAACAAAAAAACAGACCTCATTTTGCAATTTGATGGTTGCTTTCTTGCCTTTCTGGTAGACTTGCTCAAAAAACGTGTTTACAAGAGAAACTGGGTCTGGAGAGCAAGAAGAGATGTTCAGAAGTTATGAGCGCTTGTTGCTTTTGCAGAGAACCCAAGTTCAGCCGAGTGATGGCTCTCAACTGTCTGTAACTCCATTCCCAGTGAATCCGATGCCCTCTTCTGATCCCCACTGCCTCCTTAAGGCATGTGGTGCACATACATGCATTCAGGCAGGTACACACATGAGCATATGCATGAGTGCACACACGCACGCCAACACTGAAGTATACACATACTCACACAAAGAGTGAGGTAG